GAAGATTGCTTCCATTGAATTATTTAAAAATGATTCTGAAGTTTCACAATTTTTTAAAAAAATTTAACCCCTACCTTCCCACAATTGACATTTTATTAATGTCATTCCATAAAAGCAAACAGTGGATTATGGAATAGTAATTCTCATCTTTGTCTTCTGAAAGAAAATGTGAATCACTAGTATTATATTAGCATAGCCATTTTCCACTTTGTTCTTTAATCATAGATAAGGAAATGGGAGCATATTAACATCTGACAAGAACCCTTTTTGTTAGGGCAATCAAGTAAGAAATTTTGTATATAATTTTCAACAAATTTTAGATATGGATAATGAATGAAGATAGATCGGTGTATATGTATCTATATGTAAGTACAATTGACTTAGAGAGGGACACAGACCTCTGTGGAATCGAAAATCTATATATAATTTTTAACTCCCCAAAACATAACTACTGCTAGCCTAGTGTTGACCAGAAACCTTACCAATAACATAGTCAATTAACATATATTTTATTTATTATATGTATCATACAGTGCATTTTTTTTTTCTTTTTTTTTTGAGACGGAGTCTTGCTCTTTCGCCTAGGCTGAAATGCAATGGCTCAATCTCAGCTCACCACAACCTCTGCCTCCTAGGTTCAAGCAATTCTCCTGCATAGAGGGGATTACAGGCATGCGCCCACCACGCCCAGCTAATTTTGTATTGTAGTAGAGATGGGGTTTCTCAATGTTGGCCAGGCTGGTCTCGAACTCCCGACCTCAAGTGAGCCACATGACTCGGCCTCCCAAAGTTCTGGGTTACAGGCATGAGCCACCACGCCTGGCCTATATACTGTGTTCTTATAATAAAGTAAACTAGAGAAAATAAAATGTTGTTAGCCAGGCTCATGCCTGTAATCCCAGCACTTTGGGAGGCTGAGGTGGGCAGATCACCTGGGCTCAGGAGTTTGAGACCAGCCTGGCCAACATGCTGAAACCCTATCTCTACTAAAAATACAAAAAAATTAGCCAGGCGTGGTGGCGCTGACTTGTAATCCCACCTATACAGAAGGCGGAGGCAGGAGAATCACTTGAACCTGGGAAGCGGAGGTTGCAGTGAGCCGAGATCGCACCAGTGCACTCCACCCTGGGCAATAGAGTGAGACTCCGTCTCAGAAAGAAAATAAAATGTTACTAAAATTACAAGGAAGAGAAAATATATTTACTTACTAATTATTAGGTGGAATGGATCACCATAAAGATCTTCATTATTGTCATCTTCACCTTGAGTAGGCTAAGGAGGAAGAGGAGGGGTTGGTGTTGCTATCTCAGGGGTGGCAGAGGTGGAAGAAAATCCACGTATAAGTGGACCCACACAGTTTAAAAGCGTGTGGTTCAAGGGTCACCTGTGTATGTGTGTGCATATGATCATTTACTAAGTACCATTGATAGGATATAAGCATTTTTGAAAAATAATAGTACAGGCTGGGCACATGGCTCACATCTGTAATCCTAGCACTTTGGGAGACTGAGGTGAGAGGATTGCTTAAGGCTGGGAGTTTGAGACCAACCTGGGCGACAAAGGTAGACCCCATCTGTACAAAACTAAAAAAATTAACTGGACATGATGGTGCATGCCTGTAGCCCTACCTACGGAGGAGGCTGAGGTGGGAAGATCGCTCGAGCCCAGAGGTTTTAGGCTGCAGTATGCCCTGATCGTGCCAGTACACTGCAGACTGGGTGATAGAGTAAGACTGTCTCAAAAGCAGTAACAAAATTTTAAAAATAGTACAATTTCTTATGTAGAGTACAGCAACTAACATGTCCACATTTTTATTTAGCTACTCACGTTTTATATAACCAAAAAATATTTCTACTTAGGAAACTCAGAGACGTCTTCTTGAAGAAAATGGATCTTAACAGAACATGAGCTTCGGATATGTCAGTGTGAGAATAAAGGCTTATTGGAAGTAGCTAGCCTGAGTCCAGAAAAAGAAGTGGGAGATGCTAGAAAGTTTATGGGAAATAAGAAGTTAATCTTGGCTCGAATAAAGGGAAGGTCTTCCCTTGCATTGAAGAAAAAGGGTTGGATATATGAGATGGGTTCAAGGATAAAGAGTTTATGTTTCCAGATAGCCCAAGATCAATTTGGAGTTAGAAACTTGTCTAAGTATTTTAGACATTATCTTATAGACAGTGAAGGGACATTAAAGGATTTTGTTTCCATCCAAAGAGTGATACCACAATCTGATGAGGACAAACATGAGTTGACAAACTACAGCCTGCAAGCCATATCTTTCCTGCTTACTGTTTTTGTGAATAAAGTTATATTGGCACACAGCCATGCTTATTTGTTTATGTGGTGTCAGTGGCTGTGCTAAATGGCAAAGTTGAGTAGTTGCAATAGAGACCATATGGCTTGCAAAGCCCTAGGATATTTACTATCTGGCCTGTTACAAAAATGGTTTACTGACCCCTGGCATACAGAAAATATAAAACTAAAGTCAGGCTACTACAGAAATCCAGATCTGAGGTCGGAAAGGTTTGGTGCCTTTAGTGATGGTATGGTAAACAGATTTGGAGGAGGTCAGGAAAAAGCTGTTCTAGAGGTTCTGAGGCCTCATGGGATAGATCAGAGAGACTATGTCAAGTAGGTCACACTTATGATAAAAAGAGAATCAGGATGAAGACATGCAAAAGGAGAATTCCTGGCAAACAGAAAGAAGGGAAGTAAAAGGAAAGCCGTGTCAAGTTACAGAACGGCCAAACATACTAAACTTAATGAAGACGCTGTTATACATCACGATTAGAAAGTAATTGGTGGGAGCAATAGGATGGAAACAGAGAGATAATTTATTGGGATGACTTCTGCATCTGTAAGCAAAGGATTTAGGTAGAGAATAAAAGAGTAAAGATAGAGGAGACCATGTTTTAGAGAGCAAGAATATAAAGTAGAAAGATTAGCCTTAAAATGAAGAAAATCACTTCTTTCTTGAAGAAATGATGATTAGAAGGATAGGTATAGAGGAAATCAAATTGAGGGAAGAGTCAGTGGAGAATTTCATGTTGAATGACAATAAAGAAGATAAGTTAGGTCATCTGGTAATAGAGTGGATGAGCACAACTGAAAACCAAGTGACCTAGCTTTAAGTCCTGGCCTAGCTATTAACCATCTGTGAAACATTGGGCAGGTCATGTAATTCTCTGGTTCCCTGTTTCCTCATCCATAAAATAGGAGGGTTGACCTAGGCATTCTAATGTCTGTGATTTTCAGAATGGATTTTCATATAGGAAAGCTTGAGGTTGTAATCTTCAGGAGCGTAGACAAGTGTTGAAACAAGGGTGAAAGTGAAACAAAGAATAGGATAATGGTGTCCTAGTAAATGAGCTTTGGGGGAGAGCCAGGAAGCTCTGATTTGTAGTGTTTGCCCATTTCTGAGATGTGAATACCCCTATCCACTTCACAAAATTCCTGAATATTTAACAGTTGACTGTCTAGACAGGTGCAAACTGAAGCCAGCACATCACTGAACAGATTTGCTAGGTAACAATAAGAATGAGTACCAGATTAGTTACATGCATTTTTCATAGACTAGGTCTAGTGAAGTTCCTTGACAGTATTCGTGGCCCTCAGGAGAAGGCCAGAGACAGTTTAATGAAGCAGTTGGCCAAGTTTGGAATCTAAGAGAATCCAAGTTCTTGGGGGATTGTTGGGGTAGGGGTGGGACAAGAGTTAAAGGAATCCACACTGAGTAGGAATATTGTTGAAGCACACACTGCCTGGGGACCAGAGAATACTCAAAAATTTAATTATACTTTCTACTATTACCAGTATAGTGCGTCTTAAGCAAATAGCTAAAGTATATTTTTATTTTTAACTCAATTTAAATGGTGAAGCTTAATTACAATTCTGATAAAGAAAATCCTTCATTTCTAAAGAGAAAAAAACAAGAGTTCATCTATAACTGTATAATGGGAATTCAAGAAATAAAATATACATTGAGAGCAAAACCCTTAGTTCTCAAGTTAACATATTTACTTTTTGAGATTAACTTGAAAAGTTAATAATTTTAAGATTTTTTTAACCCATAGTTTTTAATCTGTGATTAAAATGTTTATTATAATTTGTCCAGTAATACATTATGGCTGACAGAGTTTTTTCTTCTTTACCTAGAAACTAATTTTCCAGTATGGTATTGACTATCTTATAAAGAGATACAGCCTTGATAAAGGTCACTTTTCACAAGTATTTTAATGAGCTGCATCACTTATAAACATTATGTTTCCTTCACTATAATTTTTTTCTACCTTATAAAAGTGTGTAAACCAATAGATTAATATTGGAAGTAAGTAAAAAACCCATAAATGGATATGGAGACTAATAGTATGCCATCTTGGACTTTTTAAAAATCACTAAAATTTAGATGTAGACCTTGATCTTGGATTTATTTTATTTTAGATGGAGTTACAGTTGAATCATTTAAAATTACCATTGAGGCAGTTTTAATAAATAATATATCCCGTACCAAATTATTTGTGACAGTTGTCATTTTGAGAAGTCTGAGGATTCTCTAATTAGTCCATTATGGCAGGTAAATTTTATACTTTAAGGTCATTGTAGTCTTCTCATTTACTCAGTACCACTCTTCGGAAGAACTGAGAGTTAGTGAAACTATACTTTTTTCCCCTACATTTTATAGAAAACAGATTTCACTTTAACCAGTGTAAGCTGTGGCATCATTGATAATATTAGGTGTGCCAGCCATTATGGCCAAACTTTCTTTACCAAGTGATGCTGCATGGAATAGCTAATTGTCGAACTTCTGCAGAAGTTGGATAACAGTTCAAATGTACTCTTGTATCACAGAGTCCAATGAAAAGCAAGAGAGATTGTTTTTCCGCTTGGCTGCCAAACGCTGTGCCTCTGATTCCTGTGTTCCTTTCTATATTCATTTTGAATTGAACATAGAGGTCAATATTTCCTCTTTTTTTCTCCCTACCTCTCCCCTTTATCAACTGTAGGTATTCAGCATGTTTTTGGAAACGCTAGTGGATTTCATACAAGTCCACAAAGATGATCTTCAAGATTGGTTGTTTGTACTGCTGACACAACTACTAAAAAAAATGGGTGCTGATTTGCTTGGATCTGTTCAGGCAAAAGTTCAGAAAGCCCTTGATGTTACAAGGTAATATTTTTTTCATATATTTCAAGTTAACCTGATAATAACTAGGAATATCTAACCCCCATATTAATAGTTCAGATTTCTGAGTCCCTTTGAACAATTTAGATTGCATGGACTCCATTTGAAGATTGTTAATTATGCCCACTCATATCGTATATTTAACACAACATTTTTCCTTGGGTCAAGCCCTGCATTTCTTTTATAAAAATTGTATTAATATTGGTTGACTAGTTCAAGGTGGTGTTTTATCTTAATTGATATATCAGCAGCTGGGCATGGTGGCTCACACCTGTAATCCCAGCAGTTTGGGAGGTTGAGGCAGGCAGCTTACTTGAGGTCAGGAGTCCGAGACCAGCCTGGTCAAAATGGTGAAACCGTATCTCTACTAAAAATACAAAAATTAGCCAGGTGTGGTGGCAGGCATCTGTAAGCTCAGCTACTCGGGAGGCTGAGGCAGGAGAATCGCTTGAACCCGGGAGGTGGAGGTTGCAGTGAGCTGAGATTGTGCCACTGCACTCCAGCCTGGGCAACAGAGCGAGACTGTCTCAAAAGAAAAAGTAAAAAAAAAGGTATCAGCAAAGTAAGGTTGAAGATTGAAGATTTTATTTAGTCTACTATAAAAAGTATTTTCTGTGTATTTAAACAATGTTTTATTATGCATTTAAATATTCTAAATCTCTTTTCAGAAGGTTTTGAACCAATGTTACAGTTCTACTTTCTTGTGTAGATTGTTGAAATAAGAAACACTTATTTCAAATATCTGTTTACTAGGTTGAGGTGAGTCAGAATTCAGATTTTAGGTGTAGAGAAACATTTCTGAGAATGTTAAGCTTTTTGCTGAATACATTTTTCTGATTAAATCTATAGTTGAGGCAAGATAGGCTATTATTTACTGTAGTGTTGCTTTTTGTTTGTTTGTTTGGGACGGAGTTTTGCTCTTGTTGCCCGGGCTGGAGTACAATGGCGGAATCTTAGCTCACCGCAACCTCTGCCTCCCGGGTTCAAGTGATTCTTCTGCCTCAGCCTCCCGAGTAGCTGGGACTACACTGCAACCTCTGCCTCCCGGGTTCAAGTGATTCTTCTGCCTCAGCCTCCAGAGTAGCTGGGATTACAGGCATGTGCCACTATGCCTGGCTAATTTTGTATTTTTAGTAGAGACTGGGTTTCTCCATGTTGGTCAGGCTGGTCTCGAACTCCCGACCTCAGGTGATCCGCCCACCTCAGCCTCCCAAAGTGCTAGGAATACAAGCATGAGCCATTGCGCCCAGCCTGTGGTGTTGCTTTTTAACCCAGTACTGAGTACAAATTCAGATGTTCATATTCTTCTGAGGATGCATTTATTGTATACTATACCAGATGGTTTATACCACATGCAGATACTACTTCATGGATGTTTTTTGGATGACATTATGTTTGGTATTAAGCATAGTCTTTTGCTATTACATGCGTACTTGCTAACTAAATTTTTGTTTTGCTTTGCTTTGTTCTCGTTTCAGAGAATCTTTTCCAAATGATCTTCAGTTCAATATTCTAATGAGATTTACAGTTGATCAGACCCAAACACCAAGCTTAAAGGTAAAAATTTGAGATCTTTTGAAGACATTATAAGGAATTGAAATATTTATTAATAAAGTTATGTTGATATTTGTACTTCTGTCACATGAGAAGCTGTTCAATCAGTGGGTTTTGTTTTTATAAACTTTCAGACAGTCAAGCCAGCACTTCGGGACCAGCTTCACTCTTTTTGGAGCTCCAAGGTTTTATTGTTTTTGTTTTCATTTGCATTATTTCTTTTCTTAACTCTCTGCAGTGTTTGCATCTATATTCAACTACTAACCTTTGTAAGCCTTTTACGCATGCACATATTTGATTTCAAATGTTATTTAAATGCAATGCCAGACTCTTGAGTCTTTTGGAGAAACTTAATGGTAATACACATTTGGAAGGCATCACAGTATTGCCATCTAACCCTAAGCTGGTAATGCAAACGCTCTTATCTAATTTTATGTTTGTGATTTCCCATTACTTTTTTTTTTTTTAAGTGTCAGGCATTTTAACAGGTATTTTAGGCAAAATGTCAGTTTTGCCTATGTATTAACTAAACACAAATTTTTAAATTTAACCTCAGTCCCTTTCTTCAGTTATCCTTAACTGAAATAGTAAGTTTTTTTCTGATGTATGCATAACATTTGGAATTATAATTAACTTTCTCATTTGTTACATACACACATTTTCCAGTTAATGTGAAAACTAAGTGGATTCCAATTTGTGATTTAAAATGATGATTAAATTTTACATAAAAGAAAAAAATTAATGTACAAGAATAGCTCGTGAATTCTTTACTAAAGGGTTTTTTTAGTGAGTTTTATTAAATGAGATTAAAGTCAGGGAAATAACAAGCATATGTACTTATACAAGTCCTTTATTTTTCTGCTCTATCCTGCACGAAACATATTTCTACAAGCATTACTGCCCAGGATTGATTTTTCCCTTAAGTTTCTGAATGCAATTGTGCCTCAGAATCACAATTATGTTTCTTATCAGGGTTGACTTTGTAAACCGAAAAGTGTCTGAGACAAGTCTCAATCAATTTAGAGTCTGGCAAGATCGAGGATGCATCCAGGAGAAAGAGATACAAGCTACAGTAGGGTCTGTGGCCTGTGCTTTCTTCCAGAGAGGGCTTTGAGGACTTTAATATTTAAAAGAGAAAGAGCCAGCAGAAGGGGAAAGAGGAACAGTCAGGCATTCATCTCGTGTTCAGTAAATCTGATCTTACATAAGAGAAAGTAAACATAGAGTAGAGGAAGAAGTCAAATATGTGTTTGTCTCTGGGTGAGTGGGGGATGATTTCTAGTCTCATCATTGTCCTCTACCTGTGAAGATAAACTGTTAATTTACATTGTCAGCATGAGGAAGACCACCTGAAGAGCTGTGTAGCCTTCTATCTTGCAGCTGTCTGTGTATGAACAAATGGGAGGCAGTTTTTTGGATGACTCAGTTCCCAAGCCTAACTTTTCCTTTTGGCATAGGCCATTTTATTTTCCTTTCACAACTTACACTCAATATAATGTTGTTTTCTTAGAGCTGCTAGGGGAAAGAGGTTTCATCTGTGTGATTTTGAAAAGGGACTTGCAGAAGAGTAATTTACTTGATATTATTAATAGATATTTTTGAACTGAAAATGACCAAGGCATTGTGCTAGGTGTTCCTGGGAATATAAAGTTTGTAATTTTATCATTATTAACTATAATATATACTAAACTCTAAACAGTAATAAAAGTTATGATATAGGTACCTGTAGTGGTGTTCAGGTGCTACTGAAATGTATGTAGAGTTAACTAGGTGTGGTAGTTCATGCCCATAGTCCTAGCTACTCAGGAGGTAAGGCAAGAGGATTGCATGAACCCAGGAGTTGAGGTTACGGTGAGCTCTAATCACGCCACTGCACTCCAGCCGTGAGACCCTGTCTGTTTAAAAAAAAAAAAAAAAAAGTAAAGAAAGAAAAAAAGTAGAAAATGTATATAGAGATGTTTCATGGGCCAGTGCAAATGAAGGTCTAAACCAGCTTAAGAAGTAAGAGTGAGGCTGGACACAGTGGCTCACACCTGTACTCCCAGCACTTTGGGAGGCTGAGGCAGGTGGATCACTTGAGGTCAGGAGTTTGAGACCAGCCTGGCCAACATGGAGAAACCCTGTCTCTACTGAAAATACAAAAATTTACCAGGGGTGATGTTGAGCGCCTGTAGTCCCAGCTACTTGGGAGGCTGAGGCAGGAGACATCGCTCAAACCCAGGAGGTGGAGGTTGCAGTGAGCCAAAATCATGCCACTGCTTTCTAGCTTGGGAGACAGAGTGAGACTCGGTCTCAGAAAAGCAAATAAATAAAAATAAGGTGTTGATAGTTGAGTTCAGAGGGAGAATAAGTTGCAGGAGACTTGAAGGGAAAGACAAAGCAAAGATTAAAATGAGATATGCACAAATTAAAATTAACTTTCCTATTGGAAAATATTATGCTGGAAACTGGAATCACAAGATTGTTTCTCTAAAAGCCTAAGTTATTTATAAATACGTATTTAATATAGATAATAGATATATTAGCAAATCCATGAAGGAAAATCACTTTTTGGCTGGGCATGGTGGCTCAGGCATGTGATCCCAGCACTTTGGGAGGCCGAGATAGGTGGATCATCTGAGGTCAGGAGTTCGTGACCAGGCTGGCCAACATGGTGAAACCACGTCTCTACTAAAAATACAAAAAGTTAGCCGGGCGTGGTGGCATGCACCTGTAATGCCAGTTACTCGAGAGGCTGAGGCAGGAGAATCGCTTGAACCCAGGAGGTGGAAGTTGCAGTGAGCCGAGTCTTTGCCACTGCCCTCTAGCCTGGATGACAGAGTGAGACTCTATCTCAGAAAAAAAAGAAAATCACTTTTCAACTCTTACATCAGTGTTTAGAATAGCAGGGAAAAGTTATATTGGAGCCATACCTTATGCCAAAAATAAAACCAGCTTTCAAGTGGGTGACAGGATTATGTATAAAAAGTTTTAACAGATTATAGAAAACCACATGTAACTTGAGTATCAGATCTAGAAAATTTTTTTATTTATCTTTCAGACAAATGATGGACGTTTATATAAAATTTTACATCTCTTTTCGAGTGTAATGTGATTACATGTCAAGAGGAAGAAATGGGGGGAAATGGCAATACAAAGTGATTTTATTTGAATTAGTAATACTTTAAAGATAAATGTAATTTTTGCTGACCTCTTTTTCTGGGTTTCACAAACAAGTTAAAGAATTTCACATCCCTTAGCAGCTAGATTGTTTTTCCTTCTCTGAAAAAGAATGCATGTTTGCTGTGTTAAAATTATAAACTAGGTATAATCTAGTAAAATATCCTGATAAATATACATGTTCAAATGATTATATATGTATTGTGGTTATGTTGCTCGTTAGTATAGTAAACACATACTTTCTGTGAAACCCTTGTAAAATTTTGCATGACGATAAATTGCCAAGGCACTGCATTAATTGAATCTCACATAGTGTTAATAAATATATTCAGTTATTGATGGTGGCAAATTATAAACAAAATATATTGATGTTCGTTTTTTGATTTAACATAGTCATCTTCCATCTATTAACACTGAGAGAGGATGACATTGCTTCAGGAATTCAGAATATTGGCCAGGGAATGGTGGCTTTTACCTGTAATCCCAACGCTATGGGAGGCCAAGGTGGGCAGATCACTAGAGCCCAGGAGTTCAAGACTAGCCTGGGCAACGTGGCAAAACCCCATCTCTACAAAAAAATTGTTTTAATTAGCTGGACGTGGTGGTGCATGCCTGTGATCTCAGCTACTCGGGAAGCTAAGGTGGGAGGATCACTTGAGTTGGGATGTCGAGGCTACCAGTGAGCTGAGATCACACCACTGCACTCCATCCTGGGTGACAGAGTGAGACCTTATCTCAAAAAAAAAAACAAACCAATATTATGTACTATCATAATTTAATTGTGCCTGGTACTTTAAAACTAACCAGAAATCTCTTTTCCTGTCTACTACACATTTCTGATGGCTAATAGGTTAACTTTTGGTTTTTTCAATAAATTTATTTAAAGTTACAAATATGCCTTTTAATTGACAAGTAAAAATTCTATATATTTATGGCATATAACATGTTTTGATATATGTATACATTGTGGAATGGCTAAATCAAGTTATTTAACATTTGTATTACCTCATAAGTGTATCTTTTTTTGTGACGAGAACACAAAATTCACTCTTTTATCAATTTTCAAATATACCATATATTGTTCTTAACTATAGTCACCATGATGTACAGGTCTCTTTTTGTTGTTGCTGATTATTTATCAAGAGAAACTGTTTCTTACTCCACATATTCATAATTCATAGTTCAGAAACACAAGTTAGTTACAAACTTCTAGGTCATTCAGCCTGAAGAAATTCTTTATATTCCAAAATCCCTTTGTACCCTGGAAGATACCAGCCTTTCTCATCTCCTCAAAATCTTTCATGGAATCATAATTTCCATAGAAATCTTCATGTGCCTTCTTTCCTGGTTTAGCTACAGCAAACTTATAAAGAGCTGCTACCCCCAGGGATACAATGAATGCTCCTACAATATGAAATTGCAGACATTTGGCCAGAAGACCGTGCATCTGAGATTTCATCATAGCACTGGGAGCCATGGTAGTTGCTGTCCTTGATATCTGTGTCAACCTCTACACCAACATCTTCCTGGCTGATGGAGAAATCATCTCTCTTAAACCTATTACTCCTGTCTAACTAAAATGCTGTGCCTTTTGACCAACATCTCTCCAGTCCCCTACCCTCCATTTTACTCTCTGTTTCTATAAATTTGACTTTTTTTTACATGCTGCTTGTAAATGAGATCATACAGTATTTATCTATGTCTGGCTTATTTCATTTAACATATTGTCCTCCAGGTTTATCTTCGTTATCACAAACAACAGAATTTCCTTTATAAGGCTGACTAGTATTCCATCGTGTATATATATACCACAGTTTCATTATCTTTTCAGCCATTGATAGACACTTACGTTGATTACTTTTTTTTTTTCCCGAGGCAGAGTTTCGCTCCTGTTGCCCAGGCTGGAGTGCAGTGGTGTGACCTCAGTTCACTGCAACTCCGCCTCCCAGGTTCAAGCGATCTCCTGCCTCAGCCTCCCGAGTAGCTGGGATTACAGGTGCCCACCACCACGCCCAGCTAATTTTTGTATTTTTAGTATAGACAAGGTTTTACCACGTTGGCCTGGCTGACCTTGACCTCCTGACATTAGGTGATCCGCCTGCCTCGGCCTCCCAAAGTGCTGGGATTACAGGCGTGAGCCACTGCGCCTGGCTGATTCCATATCTTGGTATTATGAGTAATGCTGCAGTGAACATGGAAGTGCAGATGTCACTTCCACATTGTGATTTCATGTCCTTTGGGTATATACCCACTATGGAATGCTAGATCATATGGTTGTTCTATTTCTAATTTTTTGAGGAACCTCCATATTATTTTCCATAATGGCAGTACTAATTTACATTTCCACCAGCATTGTGGAAGAGTTTCATTTTCTCCACATCATCACCAACACTTATCTTTCATCTTTTTGATAACAGTCATTCTAACAGGTGTGAGGTGAATATCTCAAATGTGGTATTAGTTTGCCTTTCCCTGATGAATACTGATATTGATCATTTTTCCATATACCTGTTGGCCATTTGTATGTCTTTCTTTGAGAAATGTCTATTCGGATCCTTTGCCCATTTTCTAAACAGTTTATTTGTTTTCTTGCTATTGAGTCATGTGAGTTTCTTATATATTTTGAATGTTAACCGCTTATCAGATGTATGGTTTACAGTACAATATTTTCTCCCATTTTGTAGTTGTCTCTTCACTCTGTTGATTGTTTCCTTTGCTGTGCAGAAGCTTTTTAGTTTGATGTAATCTCATTTGTCTATTTTTGCTTTTGTTGACTGTGTAGAGTTATAAATACTTCTTAAAATTCGTTATGAAAGAAAAATGTAATTTGATCTCTTTTTTTAACTGGAAGGAGGAAGGGAAAAATGTACACGTGTCAGAACCTTATTTTAATATTTTACTCCCGTGAATTTATTCAGTATGGCACTTCCCAGAGACCTTATTTCGCCTGAGTGGCAAAAATGACATTAAAATCAATACTAAGGGAAGAAAAAACATAGAAAAACATATTACCTTTAAATTTGACAATTTCTTCTCAAGTTTCAATCATACATTTAAACCTTCGTTATGCTAAGTCAGCAAATTAGCATTTAATATGTATTCAGCATCCTTGCTGTATCCAAGGACTGTGTACTGTGTCATGTGCTGTTTCTTAAGTGCCCAGGTAGAACATGGTGACTTTAGTTAATAACAATGTATTGTATACTTGAAAATTGCTAATGAGGGGATATGGAATGGGGAGCTGTAGGTCAAAGTGTACATAGTTGCAGATCTATAGGATGAATAAGTCTAGAGATCTAACAGACAACATGAAGACCATAGTTCATAATATTGTGTTATATGTGGGATTTTTGCTAAAAGAGTAGATTTTAGGTGCTCTTGCTACACACACAAAAGGGGTAACTGAGATAATGGATTCATTGATTTGCTTGACTATAAGAAACATTTCACTATGTATATGTATATCAAAACTTGTACACATTAAATATATAAAACTTTAAAATTGAATTTATAAAAAGAAAATTGCCAAGAGAATAGATTTTAAGTGTTCTCACCACAAAAAAAATAAGTATATGAAGTAATGCATTTATTAATTAGCTCAATTATAGCCATTCCACAGATACATATATTTCAAACATCTGCCTTCCGTGCACCTACACATCAAGAATTACTGGGAGAATAGGCCGGGCACGGTGGCTCATGCCTGTAATCCCAGCACTTCGGGAGACTGAGGTGGGCAGATCATGAGGTCAGGAGTTCGAGACCAGCATGGCCAACATGGTGAAACCTCGTCTCTGCTAAAAATACAAAAAATTAGCTGGGTGTAGCGCCTGTAATCCCAGCTACTCGGGAGGCTGAGGCAGGAGAGCTGTTTGAGCCCAGGAGGCGGAGGTTGCAGTGAGCCAAGATCGTACCATTGCACTCCAGCCTGGGCAACAGGGTGAGACTCTGTCTCAAAAAAAAAATAAAAATATATATATATATATCTCTCTCTATATTAAAAAAAACCTACACAGAACATTTTTATCCACAGAGGTGTTGTCTTTTCTTCAGTGGTACTTGTGTAACTCATTTTTGTGACAGTTCTTTTGGAAGGCAGGTCTAACAACTGGTAGACTCACTAAGGAACCTCATCTCATTATGTGAGTCTGTGTTTAACAACAACAAAAACAACTATATTGCCCACCTTGATTGCTACCTTGATTTGCCATACCTTTTTTTAAAAACACTTTGGTTCATTTTCCCAAAAACAAAATTACAGAGTTAATAAAGACTAGCTCCCTGTGAGGCTGGCCAAGAGTCAGCCATAAGCTCTGAGGGCTGATTTAAGGAAATGTTTATAATCTTGTCAAGATAGTCTTCAGCAGTTGTTCAAACCTTGGGAATGAAACACCTGGGACCTCGAAGTTCTGATTGTGTGTGAAAAACAAAAGTCATCAACACTGTCATATACTTGTACCTCAGGTAGGTAGGTGATTGTATCACATGGCTGGGCATGATGGCTCATGCCTGTAATCCCAGCTCTTTGGGAGGCGGAGCTGGGAGGATTGCTTGAGGCCAGGAGCTCAAGACCAGCCTGGCCAACATAGTAAGACCCTTTCCGTATATAAAAAAATAATCATCATCATCACCTGATTATTTTTGAAATGTTCTCTAGTGTCTCACAATAACCATCTTTCTGTCCTTTCTCTTTGTGCTTTCCTCTGCAGGTGAAGGTTGCTATCCTTAAATACATAGAAACTCTGGCCAAACAGATGGATCCAGGAGATTTTGTAAATTCCAGTGAAACTCGCCTAGCAGTGTCTCGGGTCATCACTTGGACAACAGAACCCAAAAGTTCTGATGTTCGGAAGGTATGTTTTAATATGAGGTTTAGAAGATAAATTGGGAAAGCAAGTCAGTTATTGTGGATTGCCAGTGAAGTAAGCTAATATTTTCAGCACTTTAGCAGTTAGCAGTGAGTTATGAAGAGCTTTTTAAAAAAATCTTTAAAATTGTTTCAAATTTTACCCAATTAATGTGAGTGTAATTTTCAAACCTAGAATCAAAAGTAGCTGCCCTTACAACGATTCTCACTCTAATTTTATAACCATTCAGAATATTTCAAATCATTCCCCTTGCATTTACCTATACATTTCAAATAAGAGCTTACACTATTGTTTGATTTATCAAATTTTAGACTTTTTTTTATCTATTGATAAATGTAGACATTAGGTATATCCATCTATCTTGATAAGTGAGGACTTAGCTTTCTCATACTTTCTGTATCCTTTCTAAGGTATTCATAAAATACTTATGAATCAATTACTAGTTATCAGTAGAAAAGATTTACATTTGACTATGCAGGTATTCACTTCTATACCAAGTGATTTGCGACTGCTTTCTTTCTTATAGAAACGTTATTTGTCCTGGAGTTGATAATTTGCCTTGCTTTTTCATTTGCCTACTTTTTTTTTTTTTAAGTATCATAATATTTTCAACATCTCTGCTATACGTGTATGGCTATTATTTTTCACATGCTCAAAAATATAGATTAAACTTATTTTATTTTCTAGAGAGCTCCTTCCTAGACATTCTGTTGTTTTCTCCAGTTTTGACATGTTTCTCCCCAGGCCTGCTGCACACACGTCTGCCTGCAATTTCTCTTGAGCATCTTCCTGAGACTTATCTTCATCCCTGTTTACTTCTTGCATCTTTTTTTTTTTTTCTTTTTTTTTTTGAGACAGAGTCTCGCTTTTTCACCTAGGCTGGAGTGCAGTGGCATGATATTGGCTCACTGCAACCTCCACCTTCCAATTCAAGTGATTCTCATGCCTCAGCCTCCTGAGTAGCTGGGATTACAGGCACCCACCACCACACCCAGCTAATTTTTGTATTTTTAATAGAGATGGGGTTTCACCATATTGGACCAAGCTGGTCTCAAACTCCTGTCCTCAAGTGATCTGTCCACCTCGGCCTCCCAAAGTGCTGGGATTACAGACGTGAGCCACTGCACCCAGCCTGTTTCTTGCATCTTGTATTTACTTCTATTTACTTTCTTTTCTGGTGAATCATTTCCATCAACATTTGCTGCAAAAGGAGTACACATAGGCCGTACGCAGTTGGCTCATGCCTGTAATCTCAACACTGGTAGGCTGAGGCAGGGGGATTGTCTGAGCTCAGGAGCTTGAGACCAGCCAGAGCAACATGGCAAAACCCTATCTCTACTAAAAAATATTAAAAAGTGGGTGCAATGGCATGCACCTGTAGCCCTAGCTACCTGGGAGGCTAAGATGGGAGGATCACTTGAGCCCAGGAGGTCGAGGATGCAGTGAGAAAGATCGTGCCACTGCACTCCAGCCTGGGTGACAGAGTGAGACCCTATCTAAAAAAAAAAAAAAAGTACACAGAATATACATTTTTTGTGATCTTTATTTCCAGTGACAAGCACTGCACCCAACAACAGAAGAATATTCTTCTCAAGTACACTTGGAACATTCTGCATGCTAGGCCATGAAACAAATCTCAATAGATTAAAATGCTAGAACTAATACACAGTATGTTCTCTGACCACAATAGAATGAAATTAGAGTCAATAATAGAAAGGAGTTTGGAAAATCGACAGACAGCTCACTCTTAAGTAATCAGTGGGCCAAAGAGGAAATCAAAAGAGAAATAAGAAAATACACTGAGAAATACATTGAGATGAATGAAAATGAGGACATGGCATACCAAAATGTATGGGATAAAGCTAAAGCAGTGGTTCTAGGGAAATTTGTCACTCTTAATGCCTACAATAAAAAGATAGCTCTCAAATGAGTAAAATCAGTAATCCAATTCACCACCATAACACACTGGAAAAAGAAAAGCATACTAAACCTGAAGATAGCAAAAGGGGGGATATAATCAAGATAAAAGCAAAAGTTAATGAAATAGAGACTGGGAAAACCAGTGAAACCAAAAGCTGGTTCTTTGGAAAGATCAACGAAATTGACAAACCTTTAGCTAAACGTATCAGGGTAAAAAGAGAAAACATTCAAATTACCAGAATTATAAATGTACTGGGTGTGGTGGCTCACACCTGTAATCCTAACACCTGGGTGTGTGGTGGCTCACACCTGTAATCCCAAGGTGGGAGGATCACTTGAGGCTGGGAGTCCGAGACCAGCCTGAGCAATATGACCTCATCTATGCCAAAAAATTCAAAATTACGTGGGTATGGTGGTGCCTGCCTTTAGTCCTAGATGCTCAAAAGACTGAAGCAGGAAGATCACTTGAGCCAAGGAGTTCAAGGGTGCAGTGAGCTATGATCGTGCTGCTGCACTCCAGCCTGGATGATAGTGAGACTCCCAACTCAAAAAAAAAAATGAAACCGTAGTCGTTATCTATTGTAGTAGGAAATCAGTAGAAAATGTCTCAAGCTGATAGTGAAGAAATAATTGTATAAGCCTGTCAATCCTATCAGTAAAAACAAGCATTACAAAAGGGGACTCTGGAAAGCTGAAAAAGGGAATTAAGATTTATAAAATGATGGTCAGGCACAGTGGCTCACGCCTGTAATTCCAGCACTTTGGGAAGCCGAGGCAGGTGGATCATGAGGTCAGGAGAGCAAGACCATCCCAGATAACATGGTGAAACCCTGTCTCTACTAAAAATACAAAAAATTAGCTGGGTATGGTGGCACACGCCTTTACTCCCAGCTACTCAGGAGACTGAGGCGGGAGAATGGCCTGAACCCAGGAGGCAGAGGTTGCAGTGAGCCGAGATCGCACCACTGCACTCCAGCCTGGGCAACAGAACGAGACCCTGTCTCAAAA